CGGTAACACCGGTAGCGGTACTAACGCTGGTAACATCGGTGGGAATCTTGGTAACAATAATGGACCTTCTACTGTTATACCGCCGGGAACAAATGATGGTAAGTCAAATATCTAGAAACTATAGGGCATCGAGTATATAACCAGAAATGGAGACGAAATAAGGGCCTTCCATGGCAACTCATTAGTGAAACCTGATATCACTTTTAATATCAACTCTCATTTGCGCTGAAATCACAAATTAGAAAGCTGAAATTGTGCAGTGCCAACAACTGACCTATGTGGACATCTCCGTATATTCCAAAAATATTCTGTATTTATTGTAATAAAGATAATATCTCTAAATATGGGGAGTTGTTCCATTCGGTGGTGTGAGAAAAACTGCAAACCGTCTAATTACAAAACTGACGGACTCACATTTCATCGCTAATTAAATATTAAATATGTAATTTTTCAAATTTCGTCCATTATAACAAAGCTCAAGTTCAACTGGTCTTTTTGAAGTGAAACAATTGACGACACCCGTCAATTGTTTCGAATTTGGGCTGGCCAATCGGAGCGCCACCATAATGTATAACCATTGGCACTATAATGATATGGCAGAATAGTTTTCAAACAAATTAAATGACATTTTGTCTCTATTTCTGGTTATATACTCCATGGTAAATTCTATATTTCGCATACGTTAGAAGCATAAATCTCAAATCGCACCATCGCGAGAATCATGCTTCCGTTGCAGAGTTAAAATAACTATGTAGGCAGCAATACGGTTCAATATTACATCATTAAATATATCGATTCTCGCCTCGCTCACCCTCGTCAATCCAGACTATTTCCACTGAAGATGCGCTAGGAGAAAATTTAAATTTTGCCATACAAGTTTCGTCTCGTCTTGCCCCGCTGGTGAAAAGCACCTTTGGTGGAGCCAAGCCCGCTCGCGACATCTCCAAAGAGCCTGTGTCGCTACGGGCCATTTCTTCCCAATATCATTACAATTGCAACCATTAGCATCCGAATTTCCGAGGGGATTATCAACTATATTGTTGATGTGATTGTCCACCAATAATATATGATCCAGACAGATACCTATATCACGCACCACACCCGATACTAGCGACTATAGCCCGATTGATTTTATAAGTGTATTTTATACCACCACCTTGTTCTTTTGTTTACTCAGTGCCTAAAAATGACTCCTGTACTACTGTGAATAATGAAAAAGGCAAGTGCGTGAAGTACTACCTTTGTGACCGAAACGACGCTGTCTTCAATGCCAGTACCGGTATTAACCTTAGGTGAGTGGTTAACAAATTGACATTCGTCATCAATATCCACAGCCCGAGTTCTACCATCTCTCGTAGTTAGTGTCACGATCCAGTCAAAGTCAAAGTCAAAGATTATTTATTCCATAGGTGAATTCCATAGATAAATTTACACTTGAAAACGTCACATTTAAGCTACTGCTCGTTCACTACGCTGACCTCCCTGAGAAGAACGAGCAAGAAACCCTAGGGATTGCTCTTTTCGAATAAACTTAAATGCTATGGAATACCTACACTTTGAATTAAATTTGTGTGGATTCTGGAGCCGTGTCGTCTTTCCATACATCTTTATCTAACAGGTAGTCTTCAATTTTGTAATATGATTTTTCGATCAAAATATTTTTAATGTAGTTTTTAAACTTAGGAAATGATAAACTTAATATATGCTCCGGAATCTTATTGCAAAAACGTATACAGTTCCCCATAAAAGAGTTGTTTACCTTGGTTAAACGAAATCGTGGTGCAATGAGTTTGGACTTAGCTCTAAGTTTAATATTATGGATATCTTCTTTCTTATTGAAATTTCACACGTCATCACGATTATAATGAAATTCGAACCACGACCAATCTCGATAGCTTCATGTACTTTCCGCGGAATGAAATGCTTTTCTCTCGCCAGTACGGACACGTTATCAAAACGAATATAGTGTGTCGAATCCGAATCCAATGAGTGTTCCGTCACTGCAGAGCCTCGATCGTCCCGGTTCTTCATACACCGTATGTTCCGTCAGTCGTGTGGATATGTTATGGTCGGTCTCTCCTATGTAACTCTTGCTACAGGAGCAGGGAATCTTATATACACCAGGAACATTCAATGGCTCCTTATCGTTCGGTGAACGCACCAACTGTCTAAATTGCATCTTCGGCGTAACAAGTGTCCGATTTTATCCGTTACTCCCTTAATGTAAGGTAAGTATATCGGCAGCCTCCACTACCGCCGGACGAGAACGAACAGATGTGCTCACGGCACGATTATAATGCCTCCAGTTAAAGCCTACAGTTTCGTTAATATGTCTGAGTTTCACAATGGTTTTCTATTTGGAATTAAAGGGTCTAGTGAAGACACGATAACGAAGGTTTCAATATAAATGTAGATCTCGGTACTCGGATTCCGAATGTGTATACATTTTTTTATAACATTTCAACTTATGTAAGTCGTTCTTCTCAGGAAAGTCAGCACAGTGAACGGGTAGTAGCTTAAAAAATGACGTTTTCAAGTGTAAATTACTTTTTAATATTTACTGTGTATTATTGTGTTGTGGCGTTATGTAATAAATGAATTCTATTCTATTCTATTCTAAATATATTTTACCAATGGAATGATTATTTGTCTTTGAGTATAACCATGTGATGAAAAGGGGAAGGCGGAATTAAATCGTGTAATTCCATCACACACTCTCCGTGATATATCCTGTAAAATACCGATAAGCAGGCAACTTTACGGCGGTGTCCAAGGCTCTGCAGCTTCGCTTCCAGCAATTCCGAGTCACCTATAAGCCTCTTGGCACGGTTGTCAATTGAATCCAAAGTGGCCCCTTGGTATGTAGCAGAGCCGTCGGGTATATGACCAGAAATAGAGACGAAATATCATTTAATTTGTTTGAAAACTATTCTGCAATATCACTACTGTGACAACTGCGATTCGATTGTCAACCCGAATTCGAAAACGACCAGATTAATTTGAGCTTTGATATAATGGATGATAATTGCAAAATTACATGTTTAATATTTAATTACCGATGAAATTTGATTCTGTTTGTTTTGTAAATAGATGTTTTGCTGTTTTTCCTCATACGACTGAATGGAAAAGCATGCCATTGTTAGAGATATTATCTTACAATAAATACAGAATATTTTTGGAATATACGGAGACGTACACACAGGTCAGTTGTTGGCCTTTCTATATTTCAGTGCAAACGAGAGTTGATATTTATAACTGATGTATCACTGACGAGTTACCAGGAATGTATGGTCCTTATTTTGTCTCTATTTCCTCGATGAGCAGAGCCATCCCAATACTATATGCAATACTATGCATCTCCTACTGTTATATCTAATTATGATTTATTTGTAATTTAAGTTAAATGTTTCACGCGCGTTTCTTTCGCAGCGTCATCGTCGATCGATGCTCTTCGTATCTTGACGTCTGCTGCCGGCTGCCCAATCAACAATTTCCCGACAACCAAGAGAAAAACGAGAGTGAACAGGTAAGTCGCGTCTGTGTACTCTTTTAACCTCTTAAAAAACTTTTTTTGTTTATGTGCATGTTACGTGATTATTCTTTTTTCGTTACCTCAGTAGTTTTATTCAAATTTGAAGAACATATTACCCCTCTAAGGCTGCCTTTCCAGCAGAGATGTGTGAGGTAGCGAGGCGGTGCGAGGATGTGTAGCGGCGCTGTGAAACGATGTGATGTTTTCCACCAAAGCTGTGCGAGGATGCGTTACAAACTCTTTTCAGCTAAGGTGGACAGTGTCAGTTAAGGTGGTTTTCCACCGGCGAGGCGAGATGAGACGAGTGGAAATGGTCTGGATTGACGAGGACGGGCAAGGCGAGAATTGAAATATTTGTTGATGTAATACTGAACCGTATTGCTGCCTTAATAGAGTTTTATACTCTTTAACGGAAACATGATTTCTCGATCTCGCGAGTGCTCGAGGTGGCTATTAATATCAATCGCGAGAGTGTGGGTTTTGAGATTTAAAAAAAGATGGTTTCATGTGATTACTCTTCCGTTAACATATTTAATAATAACAATTTACGGGACATGTTGTTTCACAGCACACAGCAAAACAGCACAGAATTTTCACTATCCACAATCACAGCGCGAGATCACGATGGCTCGCGCGAGCTATTAGTGGCAATTTTTGGTGCAAATAAGCCGGCGAGATTTCTATTCTCGTCTCGCCTCGCTTCGTCACGCCTCGCCGGTGGAAAACTACCATTAGTGTCATACTTTCGGTAGTTCTAGTTTCCTATACCGTTTTGCACACACTCTTCGTCCCCGTATCCCTCGCACACACCTTTTGCTATTTTGTATATACAAATACTTAGCTCAGCTAACCCTTTTCCATTGGAGCTGCGCTAAGCGAAGCTAGAAAAATGTAATCCTATTGGTGGATTTTTTCCCTGCACACTGTTTAATTACGTCGCACATCTCTGGTGGGAAGGCAGTCTAAGAGTGGGAAATTAGAGGACGAATTCGGTTTATTGGATTTTATTCAGTTTCCGTTAATCGATTTCAATAAAACGTCGCAAATAACTGTAACGAACACAACGAAAGCGGATAAGCAAACTTGGGCGGTTCTTTTTCTTATAAAAAAATTATGTCAGATCTTCATCGAGTATAATTGCAATACTTATTTTATTGAATATCACGATGTTTTTATTAACATTTTCTTGTGCAAATACTCAACTTAATACAAAGATCCGACAAGAAGCACATAGAAAAATTGGTGAGGTCCGCTGGTTCGTTCCGTAGCTTACTTGGCATAGCGTCTGACACGGTTTGCTAGACGACGTCGGTTCAAATCCAGATTGAAAGAATTTTTGTTCCATCTTTGTATTAATAATTATAATAAACTAGTGGAGTAATTTCACAATTTAATACTCCACTAACTTGTTGTTATTTATCTAAAAATTGCTAAGTTTGTAAGCTTTTACTATGAAAATATGCAGTATCGTTTTCAATTCCTTACAGGTTATTTGATTTTGAATTAGGGACTTAATCGTCTATAAAAACACATTTTATTTATCTCGATGTAAAGGACTATAAGCAAGGACGTTGCAATACGTCAAAAACGACGTGATAAAAAATATTATATTTTTTTATCGAGGGACTAAAACGAGCCTATGTAACCCCGAGGTGGTTAAACACACGAGATTTAATGAGGGTGTCTATTATTCCAGGGGTTTATGTTGACTTCGATATGTTGATCGTGAAAACCTTACTATTCACTTCGATTGCGTGAAAACAATAAAATTGTTTACGCTCTACAACAAAATCGCAAACCAAAATTCTTTAGATTTCGCGGTGTTTTTTTTCCCACCAGACACATGCAACAAATGCAACAAAAGCCACGATTAGCTAGATTTAACTTTTACTGTACTTTTACTTTTGATACAAACTAGATCAAGTAATGGCTGTTTGATTTTGTTATAAAATCTACGTATTTGTTACTAACTAGGGATTAAATGATGCACTTTATTCCCGCTACGTAAGGCTATATTGGCGTATATTTAAAGCATGAGAAGTGAAAAATATGTTTTCACCTCGAGACTAAAAACCAATACAAACCGTCGGAGTAATAGACAGCCGTAAAAGGCGAGTATGTGAACTAGACCAAATTTTACAGGAGAGGGATTTACCGTTATTACTTTATTGTTTCAATGGCTATGATGCCGACGATGCTTTACGTTGCGGCTATCACACACACACGCGCGCACACGCGCACGCGTACTCACGCACGCACGCGCACACACCCAGAGAGACAAGCATATTCATACACCCACTCGCGCTCACGAAAACACACGTGATCTAACTCTTCAAATTAACACTTAAAGTCTACTTAAAAGGATAACACCTGGGAACACTTTTATTATTATGCCTTTTGGCCACATGTTGCGGGGTGATCTGGGGTCGACGATGATGATCACGTGGCCTCCTTTCAGATCCGGTCTCTCGAGGACATGTGCTCTGGGCAGGGACCAATATGATGCCGACGATGCTTTACGTTGCGGCTATCACAAATCAGCTAATTATTCGTAAAATAAGTCTTAACTTTTCACTTGACATGCTTAGAATAATAACGCATAGAATGATAGTTTCATATCAAACGAACTGTCACAAGTGAGGCAAAAATCAAATTCATGTAGGCTAGTTTTAGTAGTAGGTTAATTTTCGGTTTTAGTGAATATTTATATAAAAATACAAGTTGAAACGCGTTACTTCCTTGTGGAATGTGATGTTAGTATCTATTTTATGTTTGTCTGACGTATTTTTACACTCATTCACCGTACATTTCGTCATTTTTAGCTAAAATTCTGGAGCTGTTCGCGGTGCAAGTTGACCTTGAGCACTGAAGGCCCGCCCGCTCGTGTAAGCCCTTTTGGCGCGCTTCAATTTGCCTCACTTAGCGTGTGCGGACTAGGTTTCTATAAGTTATTATTCTAAGTTGACATGTATATGTAAACAATCAATCAACATGACAACAAGCAAAGATATAAAATATAGTATACGAAGGAGTCCGTAACAGGCTACGACTTTCATTTTTGCACAGCAAGCATTAATTTATATAGTCTACGGACTGATAACAATATATTCCCGTAAATGACGCTAATTTAGTTGCCACGACATTTTCGCGAATGTGATTTGGCTATTAAATTACTGAAATGGAGACTCATAGGTAATCAATTGCTAGTTACGCGTAACTGCACTATCCCCGACGATATGTATTGGCTCACTTTAACCCCTTAAAAATATACTGTTTTATACACGAGTAAGTCCCGAAATTGAAATAAAAAATGCGTGAAAATCGTGAACGTTTCAATATTAAACAGCACACTTTACAGGTGCCTAATTCTGAGGCTCATCGCTCTGGCTGCGGCTGGCGTAACCCTGAAGGGCTTGGAATGAAGATTAACAGTGGTACCAATGGGGAAGCCAACTACGGAGAGTTTCCTTGGGTGGTCGTCGTTTATAGGTTAGTAACTGGATCCCAAGTCTGCTTATTTTGGACTAGAAACTGATATGAATCGGGCGTAGTGCGCAAATGCTCTAACTATACGCATGTAAAATCAATATATTTCATTAGTCTTGTGCGGAGGGAAGGTGGGAAAATTAACTACGTGATGAAAATATTCAACTTAATCAGTTGTCACGTGACTCCTGCCCACCTGGGGGGTGATTCACGTAATCAAACCGTTCCGATATCGTAGCGATTTAGTCGTTGAATTGCTTTTTCGTATTCACGTGTGATAGAAAACGTCAACGAGTCCAATTTTAAAGTCGTTCGATTTAAATGTCGTTAAAGCGTATTTTGGTATATGAATTGAACTTAAATCGACTCTACACATCGAGTATATAACCAGAAATAGAGACGAAATGTCATTTAATTTGTTTGAAAACTATTCTGCCATATCATTACTGTGACAACTGCGCTCCGATTGGCTAGCCCGAGTTCGAAACAATTGACGGGTGTCGTCAATGGGTGTGTCGTCAATTGTTTCACTTCAAATCGACCAGTTAACGTGAGCTTTGCTGTAATGGACGAAAATTGCAAAATTACATATTTAATTACCGATGAAAAAATCGCGGGTAGGCGCCCAAGTAAAAACACCAAATTTTTTCTGCTCTCTATTTTTATTCATTTAAAATAGTAAATGTGTATATTCCTTAAAATTTAGCTCACATGCACTAAGGTTGACTGTTTACTTACTCTCACACAAACTTTTACACCTTCACAATGGACACTTCAGCAGAGCAACTCAAGAAGAGTATTGATGAACTATCCACAATGTTTAGTAGCAGGATGGGGGAATTTGAGAAAAATCTCCACCAGCCCAGCGGTACTGCTACCACAGTGAAGAGTATTGCAGCAGACTTCAACTCTTTCAAGGCCTTCGTCTGGAAATCCATCAGCATGCTCAAGTCCCAGGTAGAGCTCCTGCATGTTTGTTTGGACCGTCTCGAGACACACTCCCGCAGGAAGGTCTTACTGTTTCATGGAATCAAGGAGGATGTTGGTGAAGACACAGCAAAGAAAGTTTCGGCCATATTATCCAACCAATTAAAGTTGTCCAGTATGGATCACGAGGCATTTGAATCTTGCCATAGATTAGGTGCGAAGAGGGACTCTGCCCGGCCTATATTGGTTCGTTTTACTACAGCACAACTTCGGTCCAAGGTATGGAAGGCTAAAACGGCATTGAAAGGTTCCAAAACTTCAATCTCCGAGTTCTTGACAAGACCCCGGCAGGATGTTTTTGTGGCGGCTCGAGGTCACTTCGGTATGAAAAGGTGCTGGTCGACCGATGGAGTGGTAATTATACTTCTTCCTGACAAAAGCCGTAAAAAGATTGTTTCCTTGGCTGAGCTGAAGTTATTGATGTCCCAGTACCCCAAGGATTCCTCGCCGCCTGTCCGTACTGTGAAGTGAAAGAGCATTCTGCTGGGTTTGTTGTTACTATTATATTTTGTCGGCTTATACTGTTTCCGTCTTTTTGTAATAATATGGGGTATTCATCATGTTTTATATAATATTTTGCACACAAAATTGAAATACCTCCGTCAATTCACTTTTAATCGGAGCACCCATCAAGTGTCACTTTCTTTTTTTTTTCTTTTTTTCTTTATTTGGCTCTGTTCGTTCAAAAATTACAGGCTAGGGTTATAAACCGTTCTGCCTCGTCCCAGGCTCACTTTCTTTTATATGAATGGAAAATGTATCTTAGAATAGTTTTGCAATACATATGGTATCATAATATTACCCTCACAGTGTATGTATCATTAGAGTAGAATTTCGTTTTAATGTTTCATTTTTCATTCATACCTATTTTAATTATTATTTTTAATAGTTCTAAGTAATTATTGTTTGTTTGTTGCTCTTAAATTTCAGTTTTTATTTTTGTAAGTTTGGAGTTACTCGTCTTGTCAACCTGTGCAGTGGGTTATTTGGAAATAGCGTATTTTTTTTTTTTTGTTTTGTTTTTTTTTTTTCGTATTTTCTTTACATATTTATTTAGGTTTATATAACTATATATATATTTTTTTTATTTTTTACAATGTTTATTGAAGATGATTATTTTTCTTGCTCTTCAGATGATTATATTAGCGCCCAAAGTCATAATACTTCACTTTCAGATTCTGAACCTTTGGAAGATAAACTTCACGATGTATTTGATAATTATAACAAATTCCTTTCCTTAGTGCACATCAACGCGCAGAGCATTCCTGCTCACTACAATGATTTTCTTACATCTTTTAGCGCCGGCATAGTTGATTGTATTCTTGTGTCGGAAACCTGGCTGAAACCTACTTTACCTTCTACTAGCTGTTCCATTCCGGGATATAAACTATTTCGTAATGACCGTGTCGGGTGTGGTGGAGGTGGTGTTGGCATTTACCTTCGTAGCCACATCATTGCTGATGTTGTTTGTTGCTCTCAGTCACTATACACGGGTTCCTTGGAACATTTATTTCTTTCAATTGTAGTTCACCACAAAAAAATCCTGCTTGGCGTTTTATATAGCCCTAATGATAAAACAGAATATTTTAACGTCTTGGAAAGTACTTTTGAAAACTTGGTCCCCCTTTTTGACCATGTCATTGTAATGGGTGACTTAAACACGTGTCTCCTCAAAAATGACAGTCGAGCCGTCAGGTTGGCAGCTTTGACGTCTGCGCTTGATCTCCAAGTGCTAAATACAAAGAAACCGACCCATTACTTTCCTAACTGTAGACCTTCCTTGCTAGATTTAATTATTGTCACTAACCCCAAACTGGTCATTTCGCATGGGCAGATGATTGCTCCCTTTTCACATCACGACTTAATTTATCTTTCTTACAAAGTGCGTCCACCTAAAGGTAGGGGAAAAGTCCTTCTTTTGCGAAATTTCAAGAATTTGAATCTGGATCGTTTGAGAGAAGATATGAGATGTATTGACTGGTCCGTATTGTTTTCGTCTGACAGTATTGACGTAATGGTTGATATCCTTAACACTGAGTTGGTGAAGGTTTATGACTCCCATGCTCCTGCTCGGCCTGTGCGTGTCAAACGTGCGCCGGCTCCTTGGCTTTCGCCTGAAATTAAAAGAGTTATGGCAATGCGTGATAAAGCCAAATGCCGTCTAAAACGTGAACCCTCTTCAGCAAATCTAGACGCGTATAAGAAGTTACGCAATCTCAGCAATAGAATGTGTAGGGATGCCAAACGTCGCTACTTTCACTCTACCATACAAAATCTTTCCCAAGCTCAGGTGTGGAAATTTTTACATTCCGTAGGTGTTGGCAAGTCGTCCTTGGATGTTTGCCAAAACAACATAGATCTCGATGCCCTGAACTCCCACTTTTCCACGCCGCCCATCATCCTTAACTCTCGCACTAAATCGAATACTCTAACTTTTCTGTCTAATCTTGCGTTACCTGATTGTCCCCCTTTCACTTTTAGTGCGGTCACAGAGGATCTTGTAAAAAAGAGTATCCGCTCGATTTCCACTAAGGCCATTGGCAGTGACAATTTGAGCCTCGAAATGATTCTTCCCGTGCTGGAGGACATTGCGCCGGTTATTACTTACATCATAAATTTTTCTCTCTCGCGCTATGTCTTTCCAACTCAATGGAAAAAGGCTTTTGTCATACCTCTCCCTAAAATCCAGAATCCTACATCTTTTTCACAATACCGTCCTGTTTCCATTCTCCCCATTCTTTCTAAAGCCCTAGAATCCATTGTACATACACAACTTTATTCTCATCTTACCTCCTATAATCTTTTATGTCCGTTTCAGTCTGGCTTTCGTCCATCTCATAGCACTATTGGAGCATTACTGAACATTACGGAGGGCATACGTCGTGCTATGGATGAAACGAAACTCACTGCCATTGCCCTCTTGGATTTCAGCAACGCTTTTAACTCTGTTGACTTCGACATTCTTCTTGGTGCCCTTCAGGCTGTTAATATCCCCTCTCCTATTATAAGTTGGTTCTCTTCGTATCTTTTCGGTCGCCAGCAGAGCGTGAAAATCAATGATGGCTCGTCATCTTGATCTAACTTAACTGCTGGTGTGCCCCAGGGTGGCGTACTCTCTCCTTTACTCTTTTCTATTTTTATTAATAATATTTCCCGTGTCATTTCTTCTCCCTTCCATTTATATGCTGATGATCTTCAGCTTTATCGTAATTTTGAAGTGGGCGAGGTAGCGGAGGCAATTGCGTCTATCAACTGTGATTTGTCTGCCATTCAGTTATGGGCCAAGTCATTTGGCCTTTTGGTTAATCCAGCCAAGTCTCAAGCAATGATTGTGGGCAGTAGCAGATTGAGGTCCAAGTTGGACTGGTCTTTGGTACCTGCGCTGGTATATGACGGAGTTCCAATTGCATATACTGACAAGGCTAAAAATCTCGGGTTAGTAATGGACTGCACCTTGTCTTGGACTTCTCATGTCAATGAGGTCAGCAGACGAATGTACTTCTCATATCATTCTCTCAAACGTCTCCAATACTTTCTTCCTTTTCACACCAAAATTATGCTTGCGCAAACTCTTTTACTCCCTATTCTTGACTATGCCGACGTTTGTTACTTGGATGCGACCGAAGACCTTTTAAACAAACTAGAGCGTCTACAGAACCTGGCTATCAGATTTATTTTCGGTCTCCGAAAATTTGATCACGTTTCCGAATTTCGTGCTCGGTTAAAATGGCTCCCAATCCGCCTTCGCCGTGATGTGCATATCCTGTCCACCCTTTTTAATATACTTCATGACCCAAATTCTCCTTCCTACCTACGTTCCCGGTTCCAACTGCTTCCCCCTCCTAGCCGCTCAAGGCGTCCGTGCATCACTAAGATGCTCGTTCATCCTAGTTGTAAAACAAATTTCTTTTACAACTCCTTTTCCTCTCGTGCAGCGCAGCTGTGGAACAGACTCCCTTCCCATATTCAGTCTAGTCCGTCAATTGCTTCCTTCAAGAAAAGGTTGATAGCGCACTTTCTTGCTGAACTCTCTTAATAATCATCATATTTGTATATGTGTAAGTTTATTGATACAATGTATTATACGTTATGTAGTCTATTTATTTATATACTATTTTAATTATTTAACGGTAATTTTATATATGCATATTTTACACATGTAGATTATCATCTTTTGTTATCTCTTTTGCACGCCGTTCCCCGCTTAAAACCTTTGCTCTCACTGCCTTGGGTTGGCTGGAAGAGATCTCTTTTAGAGATAAGTCCACCTTTGCTCACCTTATGTTATTTTTTTGTTTCTGTTTATTTGTTTGGTGCAATAAAGAATATATATATATGAAATGTGATTCCGTTTGTTTTGAAATTAGATGTTTTGTGTTTTTCCCACACCACCGAATAGAACAGCACGGCATTGTTAGAGATATTATCTTTATTACAATAAATACAGAATATTTTTTGGAATATACGAGAAGTACACACAGGTCAGTAGTTGGCCTGTCTATGTTTCAGTGCAAACGAGAGTTGATATTTATAAGAGCTGTATCGCTAATGTGTTACCAGGAATATATGGCCCTTATGTCGTCTCTATTTCTGGTTATATACTCGATGACTCTAAACGACAAGTCATACGTATTCTGCTAAAATTTTGACAGTTCTTTCAATAGATTTCGACGACTAAATGTCATATTCACAATCCAAGATGTCGTCCATTAGTCGTTACGTTTCGATTCTAATCATATCAACTTTCGTTCAAGTGATTCGTGAATACTCATTTTGGATAGGACTTCGATCGAACGACTACGTAACGTCAACGACTGCTCAAACTCAAAATTGTACTGTTTGGAAAATTGTTTGGACCTATGGAGATCTAAGTCATATCTTCTTCTCCTGCCCCTCAATTGACCACGATACTTTCATATCCGAACTCCTGGCAATCAGTGTTCCACTCCCCACCTCCATAACAAGTTTATTATATTTATGGAACATAAATGTTTACAATATACCATCTTTCGGGCTCCAAGTCAGCCCCGCCTGCACGTGGTGCACCCTGCCGTATAGCGAAAGGAGCTCTGGCCAAAATTAAACCTAGTATTCCCAAGGAGGGTTGACGTCAGGCAGGCGGCCGGTCATAAAACACACAAGAGTGAAGAAGATGTTTACAATATTCTGGCCTTATTTATTGAAAACAACAATATCAAGCTTTATTATGTATGCCGATATATAATAGCTACCCACCTTCCCAAAGCTTTTTCATCCAAATTCCGTATCTCTTCCATAATCTGTAATTCTGTTTTCAAAACCCTTTCATTGGCTAAATACGAAGGCAAAGCCACTAATATTAAAAAAAACTTCCAGTTAAGGCTTAACTCACACTGGCGCAAAGTCAAAGCGTCGAGTCGCGTCCTGTTATTCAACCACACCGCCTGGAGACGCGCGTCGACGCGTGAAGTCGCTCGAATGCTACCAAACGTCGACGCTCGATTCCATATTTGCAAAACACAAATTTGTACCTTAATAATGGGAAAATAGCATTGACTTACAAATAAATGGACGACGGGTCTAATACAAAAACCACGAAAAAAATGTCCCAAGTCAACCTATTCGAAATTTAAATTGTAATGTCATCGCAATATCGCGCTGTCAGTCGAACAAATGAAGACTAAAGCGGAGTTTGGCGCTCTGTATACGATTTTAGCGCCTTACAAGTGCACACTTTTCAGCGCGAACCCGACGTCCATATAATTGTAAGTCAATGGAAAATAGAGATAAATATGCTATAGGCGAAAAACATGACGCGTCACGACGCTTCGACTCTGCGCCAGTGTGAGTTGAGCATATTTTCATGTTTTTAAAATTTTCTATGTATTCGATCGTTGTATTAATAATAATAACAATATTTATATGGCTTCCATTTATTTCACTCGTGAGTTCGGGTGTAATTGTGGCGTCTATGTGTGTATTCATGGCACCCGAGATTAGAGATGGGAAAAACTGCTTATTTTTTTAAACGTTTAAACGTTGTAGCTTTTTATAAAAGCGTGCTTTTTAAACGCTTTTCACATTAAACGCGTTTTAGTTTGAAGCTTAAAAAATCGTTTAGACAAACGTTTAAGCGCAGAGACTTTCATGTTAAAAAAAGTTTGCAACGTTGTGTCGATAGCGAAAAGAGAGAGTAGACCACTAAAGGTTTTAAGATAAGTAAGTTTATTTGTAAAACACGAGGTTTATTTATAAAATTATTATGTACATTAACGTATTAATTTGTTTAGGAAACATAGATGGCGAGACTTGAAACATAAGCAGGTTGTACAAAATTTAATTGTTGAGTGTGGAATTGACCAACGGTTACCCTTAAAAAGGCTTAGGCTTAAGTGCTTATTTTGAAAAAGCAAAGTTTTTAAAGTGCTTTTCGTTTAAACGCTCACCTCTACTCGCGATTTCCTAGAGCAGGACTATGACTGTGTAAAAAATAATAAATAAAAAATCTTTATTTTAAATTTTTATTGAATTTATATTCAATTACTTTTTTGGGAAAATACTTCTCTAGTTTGTTATAATTATTAATACAAATATCGAACACTCAGAAACGGCCGGATTCGAACCGACGTCTTCTAGCATACCGTGACAGACGCTATACCAACTAAGCCACGGAACGAACCAGCGGAACTCACGAATTTTTCTATGTCGTGTCTTTGTATTTGGTTTTTCAACGAATTTTTAGTCGTAGCGCCATCTATGAGAAATCTATGAAAGTTTTATTACCCAGTTAGATACAGCTACCAGCCTTGGCGAGAGATGTCGCTATTCACTGTATTCAAAATTTTTATTGAATTGATATTCAATTATTTTTTGTGAAATTACTCCACTAGTTTGTTATAATTATTAATACAAAGATCTGTTTCGTTCCGTGGCTTAGTTGGTATAGCGTCTGGCTCGGTAAACTCGGTATGCAAGAAGACGTCGGTTCCAATCCGGCCGGATTGAAGGATTTTTTCTGAGTGTTCGATCTTTGTATTAATAATTATAAAAATCCGTTATTTTCAGTCGATTTTATATAGACAACCACGCTAACCCAGATGCCTTCTCCTACAAAGGAGTAGGCTCGCTCATCCACCCAAGCGTAGTTTTGACAGCAGCGCACATATTAACAAACTACGATGAAATAGAAGAACCAGAGTTTCAAGTGCGCGCTGGTAACTGGAAATTGTATCCCGATAACGAGTTATATCAGCATCAGGACAGACATGTGGAATCGACACTCATTCATAAGGACTTTAATAGCGGTTTGTATATGAACTATAGTCCGTTCCATTGTACCAGAAACGAAAAACAAACAGATCATTGACCCAACCATAGACAGATGACCAATGGCATTGACTTACAAATAAATGGACGACGGGTCTAATACAAACACCACGAAAAAAATGTCCCAAGTCAACCTATTCGAAATTTAAATTGTAATGTCATCGCAGTATCGCGCTGTCAGTAGAACAAATGAAGACTGTCGCGCTCTGTATACGATTGTAGCGCCTTACAAGTGCGGACACTTTTTAGCGCGGACCCGACGTCCATATAATTGTAAGTCAATGACCAATGGTCAGAAAAAGGTGTTCCACATACATATATGTATAGTTATACATGTATAGATATAGCTACAAGGAGCGAGATAGAATTGTTAAAACCGCCAAATATTAATTAATTACTTTCCCGAATTCCGGTTTTCCGGATGAAAAAAACTCCTCTCTTTATTCTGTTTATGAAGACAAATCGCCGTCAAAAATGTCACTGTTTCGTCGTGTACAGCTTTTTTATAAAAAGTATAAAAATAATCAAGTGTAAACATTTTGAGTTCAAGGATATTTTCTAAGACAATTGTCACTTACATGAAAAAAAAATATAACTGAAAAAAACATTAAATTTGTGCTTAAAAAATATATGCTAACAAAGTTATAGCATAATTAATTGGTCAATTATTTATTAATTATGCTAGTAATTATATTATTAGTGAAATGTTTGTATTGATTATAATTTATAATTTATAAAATACATTATTATTATATATATAAAATCTTTATTTCAGTAGTGAATGGTCGTTAATAATATGTTTATACAATTTTGATTTAAATAAACTAAATGACTCCGCATCATTTATATTTGGCGGCAATTTGTTAAAGCTTTGCACTCCTTCAAAACCTATCGACCTCTTGCTGTAGTTAGTTCTGGATATCTACTCTCAAAATATGCAACCGCAGCTGCGTTAATTAATATTTGGTGGTTTTAACAACTCTATGTCGCTCCTTGTAGCTTATATCTATATATGTGAACACCTTTTCCAACCATTGGTGATCACCAACTGTACTGCCAACTACAAATCGATTCTACGAATCGATTGAATCATTAGGAATAACTGGGTTTTATATAATAAAATAGTAAAATGTATGATTCAATACTGTGTATTATATTTCATACAAGAGATTAGATTTTTTTTCTTACATAATCTATTGAAGCAAATTTTTAAACTTCCGTAATATAATTTTAAGTCCTTCAAAGCCTTACACTTAGATATTCGTTCGATTGTGATAAAATTTTCGATTTACTAATCTATTACAAAAACTTTAATTGAATTTACTGATTGAGTTATTTCCTTACAGCCCTATGTAACTATAGACTATTCACAAATCTATATTTGAAAAATAATCTCACTTTAGAACTAATATTTTTCAATTATGATTTTAATATGTTATACCCATTGACTTACAATTATATGGACGTCGGGTCCGCGCTAAAAAGTGTCCGAACTTATAGGGCGTTAAAATCGTATACAGAGCGTCATTCACGCTTTACTCTTCGTTTGTTCGACTGACAGCGAAGCAAACAAAATTAGACAGTACTGCGATGACATTACAATTTATTTTTTATTTTTTTTATTACATTTTATTACATTACAATTACCCTAAAAATAATTAAATACTTGTACACTTTTAGTTAGTTCTAAAATTTCTTAAATTTTATTTCATTGTATGTTTTGTTAAGTAGCGTCAGTCTAATATAATTAGTGTACCATAAGGAAGAGCGGGAATCCCTAGCACAAGTATCTACATACTTAAAAGGGAGTCCCGAGCCACTATGAATGTAAAGACTGAACTTCTGAATAAAATATTTTTGATTTTTTGATTTGATTTTTTTGAATTTAAATTCAACGTTTTAGCTTTTTCATATTCCTTTACATGTCACTACGTTTAAATAGGTTGACTTGGAACATTTTTTTCGTGGTTTTTGTATTAGACCCGTCGTCCATTTATTTGTAAGTCAATGGTTATACCAATTAATATTGCTGGAAAAAGTGAAGAGATATCAAATCGTAAGAAGCTCTACTGCTACTAAGCTATTATACACTTTTGTTCGAATATCACCTCCAAGAAGAACAAGATCCGTCAATGTATAGCTTAGTGATTGGACGAGTTGTATTTATTTCAACTCGAGTTGACTTGACTCGATGTTTGACAGAGCAACCGCAAGACGCGAGTAAAACTCGAACCGACGATTCACCGAGTTGGACACGATCGGCCGGCCGACTGCGACTCGAGCGTGACCAAAGGTCACCGAACCGACCCAGCTAGTTCTAATCCACAAAGTGTAGCTCGAGTTGACTCGTTGTGGGAGTAACTCGAGTTAAATAACTCGACTCGCCTATCGCTCGCAACTCGAGCGTGCTCTGAAGGTCACCGACGCGCTATATAAATGAAGTATTCGGTTTGGCGGTGGCCGGGCGGGTTAACCGAGTTAGCTCGAGTTCATGAAAAAGTAACTCGAGTTGACTCGTTACCCGCTGTACTGCCGACTGAACTTATTTAAATTACTTAAATTTCATTTATGGATTTTGCAAGAATAAAAAATCCACTAACAATAATTGGAAATGAAATTATTTTTTCGGATAAATAACTTATTTTTATTAATAAAAATAATGAAATAATTATTTTTATTTATTTTATTTTATTATTTAGACGCGCAGCTGCAGCGCCACTGCAGCGTGTCTACAGACGTCTAATCCGAAAATTTAGATCTTCAAAAATGTTTCATTTCCAATTTGTAACAACTGCAAAAACCTGATGGCATTGACAATCATTTCAATCTCTCTTATAGGCAATGTGTTCTATGATGCTGCCCTGCTATACCTATCGAGGCCCATGGAGCTAGCACCGAACGTTGGGATTGCATGTTTGCCTCCACCGCGCGAACGCGTTGCGGGGGGCACACAATGCTTCTCGTCGTGGTGGCCCAGGGAATCTGGTTGGGAGGCAATTCTGACGAAGGTTCGTTTTTGTTTACATTACCAGGCATCTCAATAACAACTTCAACAAAAAAGTTCTTAAAAAAACTAAATATACTGCCTTTGTCATGCATGTACATTAGATATTTTTGTATTTGTCAAAACTTATCCTCAATATCAAAGCACGTGGTGAAATCATTCAAAGGCAAACTAGATCTAAAATTATAAATCTTTTGTACCAACCTCGTTGCCAATTATGAAAACTGATTCAACACGTCAATTTCAATTATTTTAAATAATCACCAGATGAAATTAAATGGTTACAAGGACATACTTTTAAATTACAATTGACAAAATAGCTTTTTACCCATTGCTTCTATAGTAATAAAGAATAAACTTAGAAAAACTGTACCTTGTCGTTTTACCACGTCGTCTATTTAACGATATGGTCATTTCGATATCTAGTCGTTTTGCGATCTACTTCTTATGCTGATCAGGTCATTTTGAAGATATAGTCATTATGATACGTACCGACCCGAATTTTCAAACACAAATATACATTGAATATTTGCACATTAGCTTGCAGGTTGAATACAGTGTGCCTAATTTTACTTAAGGCGAATTAATCGTTACTGTATTCTGGTAAATAAACGTATTTTATTCTATTCTATTCAACAAGCTAGTGTTGTAAAAAACTCGAGTCTGGGAGTCTACATGTATAGACTCACGAGTTGGAGTTGAGGCACACCCCGGTACAACGGTCGAAAATTATTTACCTACTACTACTGCATACAGCAAGGCGCTATCTGCACACGCGCAAATGTGTGCGTGAAGTAGCAGGGTTACCCATCACCATGGACGTATTATTTTATTTATTACGTCCATGTCCATCACTTGCTCGTACTATTACGTTACGTGGTCAGAGCGGCAACATAGCGAAAATTCTAACGCTAATCTGTTATCTTATAATTCTATTATAGAATCCTAATAATTACATGTTCATTACGTAGGTATTTATATCGATACAATATTATATTTTTCATTAATTCACTAACTAGAATAATATTAAAGATTTATTTAAAAAATATATTAAAAGCACTTAAAATGTTATGTTTTGGACAGGTAAATAAAGTAACCAAAGTATTTGAAATTGCGTGTCCAAGTTTATCATTACCTAGTTGATAATTAGGTATACTCACTACGTAATATTTATCGGCAATACAAATAGAAAATTCGAGAACCCTTGTCTAGCTCACGAAGTTATGGCCGCAATTTACGACCATTATAAATAGTAACGTAAAATGATGTTATCTATATTAACGTACAAATTTCGTAATTAATAAATGAAAAATGTATTCAAATATCAAAGCCGTCTTAGCGCGAATACGGCTCGCCTACAGCCTTGTTCTCGTTCAGTTAATGTGACCGTCAATGTGCGGGGCGTGGAGCGGTATCTAAAGCTAGGGAGGGGCGAAGAGTGTCCGTTCTCGTTACTTATTTGTTCTCTGGTTGAGCTGAGCGCGAGTCGTCGAAGCACGGGCTTGAGTCGTAAACGTAATTCGAGTTTTGAACAAAATTCGAATTCGAAACCTTGACTCGAAGCGACTTCTACTCTACTAAGTCTCGAATACGACAAGCAGGGATTAATTTTACAGAACAACTGTAGATAATAATATACTTACTATATTAATACTTAATTATACTACAGTAATTATGGTAAACTATCACAAAGTCGAAAATTTTTTGTCCGAAATAACTTTTTTTTTTAAATTATGATGATACTGAAAAGTTGCTTCATCCAATAGTCTGACTCAAACTTAATGTTTCCGTTACTGGTACACACACTTACATGCACACACACACACAGATGTATCCAAATCACACACACCCAAACACACTCGCGCGCACACAAACACACACACTCACACACACATGTATTCCAAATTACACACACACAGCGCGCGCACATAGAAGAATTATCTCGAAGGTTTTTCTGTTACTGTAACTTATTATTTTATTTTTTCTCTCATACATATAATTTGTGGTTGGTATATGTATACTTAGTAACATATGTTTCATTTGCGAGGGTTGGGGCCTGGTGACTTGTAACACAGGTGTTAAGCCTATAGCAAGCACCAGCTCCTACAAAATACTGTTCTAAAATTACTAAGATTGTTTAAAATAAAAATAAATAAAATAAAAAAATAAAAATCATTTATTTCGGGCAGCAAAGACCCATAATAGACAAAACATTTTATGTACTTCTTATTTGTTGTTGTATTTTGTGGAGAAATAAAAAGTATTATTATTATTATTATTATAACTTTTGTTCGAATTTTCATTACACCGAAAACCGAATAATAACGAAACAGTTGTTATTTCAGGATATGTTGAATGTTTATCGCAAAGACATTAGGTTTAAAAGAAAATACACTTTCCTCTCAAAATTACTTTCGAGGTTATGAAATTTCGACCATACGTTAATAGAAAAATGTTATTATGCTGTTTCAGAATTTATTCAGGATAATGATTTAAAAGATTAATTTATTATTATAAGTGTGTCGCGGATACCAGCCCGTTGCACCAAGTACCAAGTATGTCCTTCCCTCTAGTTCTGTTAAATATTGAACCTACCACCCTGTAAAACATTGTAAAAAAATGCACTAAAGTATTGATTGATTGATTGAACACAGCTCATACTTACCAGACTCGATCTCGACTCGCAACATAAATAGACTCGAGCACTAATGTCGAACTGGTATCTATTCGGAAACTTGATAGGCTCGTAATAAAATTGAATCTTCTGAAATGGAGTTGAATCCCAAAAATTGTAGATTCCCAGACTCGCGTTTTTTACAACTACAACAAATCCATTAGGATGTCGTAATTTATATTCATCGATGGATTTCGAGATCAAAAATGTAGTTTTATTATACTATACCTAAGTCCAGCAGTGGACGTCTATCGGCTCTGATGATGATGAAGAATTATTACGTCTATTTAAATATAATTTTTTTCCGATATGTAGCAATCGTGTAAATGAATGACGCGGTTGCGGGCGGCGCGGAGTGTCATTAAACCGCTGGGCAATTTTGAAGTTTTTGTCAAGGGCTTAAAGTTGAAAACACAGACATACATGTATCTAGATAGACGCCGCATGTACAACAATTTGTATGAAAACCAAGCGTGCCACATTTTTTGTACCCACTATGACGTCACAAGAGCTATTTAGTGATGGACACCTCCTTCCGCTCGCTTTAAATCGATTGATTGAACGGAATATGCGTAAACAAGTGTATTCCATTCAATTAATCGATTCTAAATAGGATAATTTTTGTTCAAGTATTTGTTGATTACAAGTAGTCGTAATATTAATATAGCAGAAAAATACTAGAATAAGATAGTTAAGTCTTTTATTTTACTTGTTTTAAAAAAATGTTGATTACTTAAAAAAATTAAGACTTTAATTTTTAATCGACTTCAAATACTAAAATTATATTCCAGGTAGCGCACTGTTAATTCTTTGCATTATATATTTTTTAGTATTACTCGTACTACATATCCGGTGATGTACGTAATTATTTGCTAATTATATTCGGAGATTCGAGGCAACGTTCTGCAAAAATTATCGAAATTACAGATACTATAAAACTGAAAAAAAAAACGAAACGTTACTAAACTTTAGAACAAAAGAGTTATAGAATATTTTTATAATATTGCTAAAGGTCATAATAATTTTCGTCCCTTTGTTTTCAAAATCGATCAAAATCGAGAACAGTGTTGCCTAACGTATACATCACTAAATGTTAAATTTGGCCAAAGAAATGTACACGGAATGCATTATGCAAAAGTGCACTCGTTCGATTTTCATGGCGTGTTAACAAAGGATCACTAATATACCGCTCCACGTAAAAGCCGCATTGTATTACAAACATGAAACATACACTCGGTTGCATATGTGTCATCTCGAAATTCATACAAAACCAAAATAATTGTTTTTAAAATAAATTACGCATCTTCTGATTAAAAAATCACTTACCCGTGGAAGGAAACATCCCTGTTTACCCGTTTACCCACAGGTACGGTGCTTTTGCAGTTTATAATGGCACAATTATGCATTTTTCGCGTTTTCGACTGGTGTTTATCTACGATAACGATCGAGCTCGATCTGAAGTGTAGTAGCGGCAACTAAGTGAATTTGACTTACTTTGGGCGCGCGAAGTTCGTAAACTTGCGGCGTCTATCTAAATATATGTCTGTGGTTGAAAATCAAAATTTTGCAGGTTCTTTGCAGTACTCAAAGAGAAATATCTCTATATAAAAATAATCTCCAAAGACATTGACTTACAATTATATGGACGTCGGGTCCGCGCTAAAAAGTGTCCGCACTTGTAAGGCGCTAAAATCGTATACAGAGCGCGAAACTCCGCTTTAGTCTTCATTTGTTCTACTGACAGCGCGATACTGCGATGACATTACAATTTAAATTTCGAATAGGTTGACTTGGACATTTTTTTCGTGGTTTTTGTATTAGACCCGTCGTCCATTTATTTGTAAGTCAACGTCCAAAGATAAATATTTTGTTCTTAAATAATTCGTTTTAGAGTTATATTTAAGCTTGATTTCTGGATTTTATATGATCGGGTAAAATACATTCTATCGTGCAACAAATTAGCACATTCTTTAGACAATGTATCCCTCACTGTATCCTCAATGTATCCTCACGTGTATCGCATATTATTTTGTAAGACCATTGTTTAATAGTATTTACTTAAAATATTTGATATAGCAAATCAGATTTTCTCCGCTTCTCTTCCGGTGACTCGGCTTAATGTAATTTTTCCAGGAGCAAGTGCAGGTCGTCGACTACAACAGCTGTCGAAACGACCTTCGAAAAACGCGCCTGGGAGAAATGTCCGAGTTGCACACTTCTTTCATGTGCACACGGGACGATCGTAGTTCGAGTGTTGTTGACGGCGCGCCGCTGGTCTGTCCCATTGAGGTAAGTCAGGGAAAACAAAATATTTTGCTGTGAACTGATTACGACGATTTTTTTTTCGTGGAAAGTGTCTTTTTGTATTTTCAGCTAACCGATTTTAATAAAATTTCCCAAATAGATGTAATTCCGCAAACTTTGAATTTGGTTTTTTTTTATTATGATATCAAGTTACGGGACGAACAAGTCGGTGCGCCTGGTGGTAAGCGACATGCCTGTCCATAACAGTTGCAATGCAACTTAGAGCTTTAAATCGCAAAGATCTGAGAGGCTTTGCCACTGCACCCGTCACCCTGAGACATAAGTTGACAAGTACCATAATATGCCTGTAACTTCACTAGCACCCTTACCCTCCAAAACCGGAACACAATAATGCTGACATTACTGCTTGGCGGCAGAAATAGGTAAGGTGGCAGTACTTCCCTGGACGAACTCTTTCACAAGGAGCTCTACTGCTACTATATTTATTCTAAATTGAGCCCGGGGATCGAACCCGGGACCTCAGAGATGGTGATACCATGAAATCTGGTGTGCAAGCCACTCGACTTTGGAGGTCGTAAAAGAATCAGTATTTTACTATTGGTATGTATAACCTATTTACGATTACCATTAGAGGTGGAAAAAATTGATTATTTTTTTGAAACGTTAAATCGTGCTTTTTTAAAAAGAGTTTTTAAAAAAAAATGCTTTTCACAAAGGCCATTTGATTTAAATCTCATCAAATTGTTTAGAAAAATGTTTAAGCGCATAGACTTTTATGTTGAAAAAAAGCTTGCAAAGTTGTGTTTATAGCGAAAAGCAAGAGTAGACCACTAAGGGTTTTAATTTATGGAAGTTTATTTGTAAAACATGAGTTTTATTTTTATTTATAAAATTATTATTCACATTGACGAATTCAAAGTCAAAGTCAAAGTCAAAGATTATTTATTCCATAGGT